ATGTAGAGTGCGCTAAAAAACCAGTGATTTTTTTAGTATGTCGGTATTTCAGGTCACGGACCACGAAAGTCTGTAAGATGCAATGTCTATTCATATACCTCGTCGGTGTCGTGTCTCATGTTCTGAAATACCGACATACTAAAAAACAATCAGTGGTTTTTTAGCGCACTCTATTCTTAAACGACGATGAATTAAGGAACTACATCAAGCAAAACGATTGAAGTTGATCAAGTAGTGAACGCGCCAGAAATATAATTTTTGAAATCCATTACAGTGTTGTCAAATATTCAATACCGAAATATGAAGCTAGTAACTAACCGAAATCATTCTACTATAATATCAGAATTATATAGATTCTACACGTTTTACGGTATTACGACGGTTTCTTCTTTCATGCAGTAAATTAATTTGTAAAGTTAATTAATAAAATATTAAAGAACCTGTCGGCTCAAATAAATTTTATCAAAAGTTCGTAATAATTATATATCAAATAATACTTATTATTCAGATCTCACCACATGGAAGTGCTGCAAATCTAGCCAAAATGACTACTGAAAAGAAAATCGCGATATAGTAGCCAGAAGGGCTACTAAAAAACAAGCATTTCTTATTAAACAATACAATAACCAGAAGGGCTATTGTACAATATCTACATTATCTATATTACGAACTCAAGGAGCAAACCGTATCTTGTTTTGCAACACTAATTCACTATTGTGAAATAGGAAATTTTCAAAATCAAACGCGAAGAGTATTTCATCATTCTTAAAATTTCCGATAATAAGTACGCAACTATCTATGCACTCATGTTGATGTTTCAATAATAAACGCAACAGTAGAAACGACGTAATTCCACATCCTAACCACACACACATACATGCAGAAAATACGTCGTGTACGATACGCTAACACACTATCAGTCGCTGAGAAATTTTTTAAAATTATAAACTATGGTCATTATGGCCGATGTCTTTCACCCAAGTAACATCTGGGCACGTGAATGAGATCCAGACAATGAACACGGAACGAATTAAATCTGAAAATCCTGAACTAAAGAAATAATTAGTTTATGTAATTCGCATCTAACGGACTATTGCATTATTTTATTTCAAACTAATAATGACTCTACACTTTCAGAAATTATTAAAATTTTACAAGGAGAATTTGTTAAAAAACATATTATGAACTCTAACAACTGACTCAAACAATCAAAATCAAACAATTGACAAAACCAAATTCAATATTAATAGAAATAATCTCAGGCGACTTCTTCATCAAAGCACATTCTCGAAAATGCGAAAGCAGTGTTCAAACTTGTTGCTTTGATTCAAAAATCTACCTGTCGCGAAGTATCATCTTGCACATAAAATTTTGTACATTTTCCTACGAAAAAAAATCTGACCTATTATATTTCAAATTCTACTGAAGTTCATAATTATAAAACTTAATCAATTCAATCAAGCAATATTATTATAAAAGAGAAAATGAAATTGAAAATTATTATAACAGTTATTAATTATTAATTACTACAACAAAATATATTACCGATATCAATAAGTAATAACTGCATTTTCCATAGCAACGAAGTCGGATTGTATCCGTCTTCTCTATGAAATGCTCAAGCGAAATTATTTTAATAATAATTGTTTATAAATATTTATAATTTATCTTATTTAATATAGATATTCATATGGGTATTTTACTTTTGCAAATATTTATGTTGAAGATATTTTGATTTTATAAGTAATTATTACAATTATATATATTCAAACCAATTATTAAAAAAAAACCGCGATGTGCAAGAAGCCCTATCCTAATCTAACAGATAAAAAACCTGAAAAAATATTACTACTCACAAGTATAAAAAATACCCGCGGTCACTATACTCATGAAAAATTCTACGTATACAACCAGTCACCCGTGTCGATTCGGATCTTCCGTCCTACGACATGATTGAGTGACCGGAGGGAATATAAATGCATGCGACTCACGTGATAGATGTGGAGAACATTGTCATCGATGCTGCAATGGAGTAGGAAAAGTTATCGTGAAGACTTTCATCAAGTAGATACCACTGAAAATCCCATGGTGGAAGTGAACGCCGTGAAAAATTTCTTGAAACATAAAACATTTTCTTTCTAAAGACAGTGTTATTTGTGAAAATTTAAATTTAAATTTTTAATGATAAAAATTGGAATAGTTTGAAATGTTTTTATTCTATAATTATAATTTCACATTCAACTTCAATAAAAACTATAGAGAGTAGAATTCAAGTACAACAGGCTAAAGTATTTACATTTTTAGCGTTTAAAGCATCATAAGATCCTTAGAAGATTAGGGGAACTGATGAGTATAGAAAATCTGTAACAAAACATTAGAATTTACGTTTAAAAGCAAAGCAAAATCTTGAATTGGAGATAATGAAAGATTCTTACATTCTTGGCTTTAGAGACACCGTTGGATTTTCCCCAAAAAAATACAAAAAAATTATTGCTGATGTGAAGCATCTGTAACAAAACATCAAATATTATACTTGGTTATTAAATTTGAAAAATTGAATACAACAAATAATACTACTTACGATCTTGATCTCCTGGAGCGGCCTTATCCTCTTGAGCACTGACTCTAATGCCAAAAACAAGTATTGAACAAGAAAAAAATATGAAGAAAGAAAAATGAAAGACTATTAACGCGCACGTTCAAGTAACACTCAGCAAACTCACTGACTCTAATTTCGCGAGTTAAATTTAAATGAATTAATAATTTAATAAGCCATTTTGCTCAAACAAGTATTAAAATATTACGCAACAAACACTGCTTCTACCGACCGCATTGCGCGCGGTTACAAAAATTTTTTGAAAATAAAGCTGATTAGCAAGGGGAGGGCAAACGATACGTTCATTTATTTAAAAAATATTGCTATTTTTCTAGAACATGAGTATAAAGAAATTTGAATATGTATTAAAGTACAAATTAAAGAATATAAAGTAAGTATATTGTAACAAAGTAAGTAAAGTATAATAAAATGAAAAGTAATACAAAAATTTTGAATTCAATAATCTAATACAAGAATATTTGAAAATATATACCATTAAGCTACTACGATATTCATATTCGAAATAAAATGTTAATATTAATGTAATAATTGATTTAATAATTTAATTGATTTAATATTTTTCA